AGATTTGAACTAACAATTCTAACTGCAATTTGAAGCTATTCGAGGGACCTAACAACCCCAGTTTCCGGAACTAAAACTATACAGAAAGATTTGAACTAACAATTCTAACTGCAATTTGAAGCTATTCGAGGGACCTAACAACCTCAGTTTCCATAACTAACATAAACTTATATAGGCAGCGGGAGTGTTAAATGGCACACCCTGTATATAATAAGAGTAGAACAGGCCCCAATACTGACCCTTGTGGAACATCTAAATTTATTTTTAATTGATCAGACCTACTGAGCCTGTTTTCGTAATTTATAGTAACATAAGTATTGTTATGCCTTTTTAAAATTGAATTTATCCAATTTATTTTAACCTCGTTTATGCCATAGTTTGCATACCTTAACAGTTTAACACCTAAATTGTCATTTCACTAAGAAACAAGGAAACTCATTGTAATTTTAAGAAAGGAGAACATTCTATGCATTATTAAGTTGTAATATTTCTATAATGAATACCATGCTTTTTTACATTCTTGTAATATTCCAAGGCGCCAGTGTACAACGAAATGGGAAAATAAGTTTAATTAAATTTTAAAAGATTTATTAATGCAGCAAATGACACATTCCGTAGAGTAAACAATAATTTTTTTTTAATTGCACATACCTACAGAATATTATTTAAACTAATTATCTAATTAAACAACTTTCTTAGAATTCTGGTACAATGAAAAACGTGACACAACGGGTTTAGATTAACATTAAGTCAGTACCACTTAAAAAAATATATATATTATGCAATAAAGGACCAAAATACGTACATAGTTATTTAAATTAATTTAGTTGTATATATTTCTTAGAGGAGTCCGAGATGAAGTTTTTATTTCATATTTTTTATATTTTTATGTGGAATATTTGAACCATTTCGAGTGTAAAGGCCGCTTCTTTTGAAAATGTACTGTAAGACAATATGTAAAATATGTCTGATATAGTAAATTATAATTATGATATTATAAAACGTAAAAAGTATCAATATATTGTAACAAAAAATATATCCAATTTTACACAACGTATATGTTCAATTAATTTACACTTACACAAATAACAAATTTCATTACGTTTTTTCATAAAACAATTTTTAACGAATATTTCTAATGTAATAACATTTTCTGCAAAAAAATACAGCTGTTTCTCTCAAATAATCGTTTTTGCGAACATCTTTTTAAATTAATTTTTAATTATTTCTGTGATTGTTACTTTTTACGTCGTTCTGTTACATTTTAAAGCATATTGTTAAATGTAACAGAACGATGTAAAAAGTAATGATACATCGTAAAAAGAAAATATACACTTAAATTAGTGATACTACATGAAATATGTATGTTCATTTACATTTTTTTGTGTAGAAAACCCATTGGAAATATATAAAAAGTCTGCGTAAATTTCCACAATATTTATCAGTGATTGATTAAATTGCAGAAAAGTTACCCATTTTTATGCCATAAAATTACTGAAAGAAACTGAGGTCGAATCGTTACATACAATTCCTAGAAAAACTGAAAATTAAACTTTTCTTAGCTGTTAACTAAAAGTGTATTATTAAAATGTAACAGAACGACGCAACAGTAACAATACATTGTAACAAGAAATTTGTTCAATTTTACATAACGTATTATGTATATTCAGTTAATTTACACTTTTACACAAATATCAAATTGCATTTACCTGTTTTCATAAAAAACACGTTTTATTATTTTTTCACTATATTTCAAAAATCAAAATTATCAACGTATAACATTTTCTGTCTCTCAAATAATCGTTTTTCGGACATTTTTTAAATTAACCTTCGATTATTTTTATGATTGTTATTTTTTACACCGTTCTGTTACATTTTAAAATATATTAAAATGTAACAGAATGACGTAAAAAGTAACAATACATCGCAAAAAGATAATGTACACTCAAATGAATGATACTATACGACATGTTATGTATGTTCCTTTCTATTTTTTATGTACAAAACCCATTACAAATATATGAAAAGTCTACGTAAATTTCCACAATATTTACCAGCGATATCGGAGTTGATTAAATTGCAAAAAAGTTACCTACCCATTTTTATTCCAATCAATATTGCTGAAAGAAAGGCCGAATTGTTACATAAAATTCCTAGAAAAACTAATTGAAGTTTTCTTATTTTGTCATATTTTAGCTGTCTACTAAAATGTCTATCTACTAAAAGTGTATTATTAAAATGTAACAGAACGACGTAAAAGTAACAACACATTGTAAAAAGAAAACAAATTTTTGTAATTTTCATTTTGTGTATATAAAAACTAAGTATTGAAAAAATAACTATAAATTTTTGTAAAAAAAAATCTCAAATATTTATTTTTTAGGACATACATTTTTAAATTAATCTGCATTCTGTTTCTAATTGCATATTCTGATTCCGCAGAACCTCAAATATCTTGACAACAAAGACGTAAGTGACAAAAAAATACATGACTGCACAAAATATGCAAAATTATTTTCGGGAAGTGAAAGACCGATACACTTTTTTCTTCATAAGATCAATAAGTTTTCTGAATGCAATCGTCCGTACCTAAATAAGTTTTTATTGTCCTGTCGACTGTAATGCGGTTTAAAGAAACGGTACCTACAACATTGATTTTTATTTATAGTGGGTACCTTATGGATTCAATAGGCATTGTTACCAACGTCTAGTCTACTCAACTATTCATTTATTATTCCGGCAGTCTTTGTAGAAACTGCCTATAATTTATATTACGGGCTTTTGTTTTCCAACACCGTATACTTATAACGATAATAATTTACACTACATACTTCATAGTTGCATGTTCCAATTATCTTTTACTAATGCCTCTGTTGTTTTTGTCCTTTTTACGGTATCAATCTGATTAAAAACATTTTCGAAGTTGCTAACGGCTTGTTCAAACAAATAGCAGGGGAATGGAAATAGCAGCACAGAATTTTGTTCTGAAAAATATCAGTAACAGAGTGTATAGGAATTTTCTATTATCTGGGTACAGGAACTTAATTGATATTTTAGTAACTCTACAGATAATGTTCATACAATAATTAGAAATAAAAATTAAACAAATGTTTACAAAATTTTTCTTCTGCTTGTGATCCCTGTTTAACTTTAATAAATAATAGCCAGCCATGAAATAAATGACAAAAAATGTATATCATGAGTGAGGTGACAGGACAAAACAGTAATTAGAATTTAAGTAAATTTTTTGTTTAAATGCAACTGTTTCGTAATAATGATTATGGTGATAATAGATTTACAAACACGAACGTATTATTAACTACAAAAAACAATAAAAATGACAAAATAATTATAACAAACGCTCAAAAAATTCAAGTTTGGCGGTACAAAATAGTATATCGATTAGATGTTTTGGCTATTCTGAATGTACTCGACTGTATTCATTATTCTGTTATTAATCGCTCATGGCTGTCAATTGCAACTGCGTAAACCAATTGTTTAAATGCCCCTTTACAAAATAATCCAGAGGATTCAAGTCAGGTGATCTGGCAGGCCACAGAATTTGACTACGTCGATCCATCTCCCATTAAAAGTTTCATATAACCAAGTAACATTACAAACAAGTCAAGAGGAAAATCTTCCAGCAATTATGTTACGTCGCTCTTAAAAAGTTCAAGTATACCTCAGCATCCAAGCGATTACGAAGAACAAGAATCTAATTTGATAATAATATTTAAGAAAAAATTTTGAAATATTTCGAAAATGCGCTACACAATAATATGTTCTATTTCATTTGGAATAAAAAGTTCGTGGTTTGAATTCGAGCGCATATGGGACCGGAAAAGCGGAACACTTGGTGCAACATTTTTTTAATTTTAGGAGCTGTGGCATCTTATAATAACACCCTATATGAAAAATGGAATACAAATCTTTCATACAAAAGAAATTATTAAGATCCATGGAAATCCTGTTGACTGTTATTTTTTTTTATAAATCAACGAGTATTAAATCGAATTCAATTGAATATAGAAACATTACAGTTGTTCATTTAATGGTATAAACTAATTCAAATAATCTAACAAAAAATTAGGTCAAACGATTTTCAAAGAAAAAAACATTGACATGATTTGATGGGATATTCAGGAAAATTTTTGAATGCACTTGATTCTGCTTAGTACTTTTAAAATAAAGTAAAGCTACTAATAAAATAATTATGTATTTTTAAATGACACAAAATTGTAATTACCATTATCGTAGCCTATAATTATGTAAGAATTAAGAATATATAGGATGTTTGTGAACTTGTTGACATTCATTATTTGTATATGTTCCTGTAGGTATCCTGTTTTCAGAAGTAGAAACGATTCAAAACAGAATAGAAGTAAAAACTTATTTCAATTTCCTGAAATCTAGATAGGTTTGACGTCTAACGCATTGTTGTAGTCTCCATGTTAAAAAACTCGAAAAAACTGTTACATTTTCCATTTCGCTAGATTTAGGTATTGAGCAATACGAAAAATAAAACATTCATTTGATTTACTAAGTTTTACTCATGGTTTTTGCTAAAAATAACATGACTTTGTCATGGTAAATTACTTATAGTATAATATACCTACTTAATTGTTTTTAAATTTTATAAAGACATAAAGTATGTGTCATGTAGATATTAAAATTAATTTAATGTCGTACCTCGTATGATCAGTCATCAATCATCATATAAATAGTGGTAACTACCTAATCATATTTTGAATAACCAATATGTAAGTAGGCATGAATCGTTTAGTACGTAGTACATAATTATATGGGCAATAAAGTGTCTAATAAATTGTGGTTCATCTCAACATTTGTAAAATGTGGCAAGCAGAATCTTAGTTTTCCCAAAGCCACTACGCTTTTGCAATGGTTTTGAATTAACCGCATATTGGAGTGTCGCAATGCATAATTCTCAGATCTACGACTTGTTCTTAAAATAACTACCCACGACTAGCTAAATTACCTACCAGAAGGTACGTCGCAAAAAATCCAGACGCGATCTGCACACTACAACAAAAACACTTCTCCACTAATGCCATTTTTTTAATAGAAACTTTCGAGGCACCACATTTTCAAATCAGTCACATATTTGCCACTTCATTCACTTCACCAGTACAAATTTAATCGGTTCACTTTTGGTTTTACGTGTTCCTTCGGCCAGTACGCAGCCCATATTAATAGTTTTTTTCACAAAACAGCAGCAATGGTAGCGCGAACGCAGGAAGAGTAGGTAGACGGTGCCAAAAACTAATAAATATTTTCAAGGTAAACCCGGATTCTGCTGGTGTTAAAAATCCATTGTTTTATTTTTTCGTTAGCGGAGTGCACGCGATCGTCTTTTTTATTTTTGACGGCGTTCGCCTCGTTACTTCGGTAGACTCACCGCGAATGGGTGAGGCGAGAATAAGTGAGTAATATCGTGGGGTATTTGCAACTATTTGAATATTTATTTCACGTGCTTATTTTACTTTCTCTTCAAATATTACCTCCACTATTGTTGTTAAAACGAATGTTACTGGTGCATAGGCAACCAGCTTTACACACGTGAAATATCTCCATAATAAGTATTATTTATTAGTAGTATTTTTTTCGTACTGTAACTACTATAATAACTTTCATAGTTTACTCTATTGTTCTTCAAATAGAAATCTGCTTAAACATCATTCGGACATAGAATGTATATATGGCAACAACATTATGTTATTTGTGAACGTACCTCTTCTCCAGTGAGTTACCATTTTGACGTTTGACAAACGCAATCAATAGAATAGAATTTATGAAATAGAAACGTTATGTACGGTCTGTGTCTTTGTTTAGTACATTTTAATTGGGTAGTGTGAGATCAGCTCTATATTTTACCCAATAGCGTACGACTTTACCAGTGACCTTGTATTACTGAAACCTTTCATTTTTCAGTTCACTGTCACAGCCTACTCGATCCGCTACTCGCATACTCTAAGGAAATTTATTGGAGTTTCTGGTGGTCACACGTAATTTTGTTTAATTTAATTAAAGAAAAAAAATGGTAAGATTTTCTAAAACATTCCAGTTCTGATATAAGGCCTAATACTTTCATTTTTGATACTTTTGTAATGCTTATTTTCGTATCTTCCAAATTACTCAAAAATTTAAAGGTTAAGCTAGTGATTACATAAATCTATAAGTTCCATTTTATAATGAAAAATTCGTGTAATGTACAAATATTTGAAAATACAATATAGAAGTCTAATTCAGAATAACCATTGACTGATCTTTTTTGTGAATGAGTGCAAGGCCTTCTACATCTAAATAATGTTACGATTGTTACGTTATCAATCTTTCATTTGTTTTAGGTCACAATGTCAGACAAAGTAGAAAAAGTTTCCAGGCCAATGAAATTTCCCTACACTTTTTCTGCAAAAATCGCACAATTTCCTTACAGACATTACTTCACAAACCAATGGATCTGGAAGTACTATGCTCTGTCCATTGTAATTTGCATTCCAGTCTTCAAATCCATTAGCAACTTGGGTAATTGCAAGATTGTTTATTTGTTCAATGATATTTTAATTCCATTGTTAATGTATTAATTTTACAATATTCTCTTGTTTTCAGCCAACTCACCTGAAAATGTAGCGAAATGGGCAGAAATTCGTCGCAAAGAAGCAGCCGAACACCATTAAAAAATAATTATAATAGTCTGTGTAGCATTTTGTTATATTTAATTCATAATACAATAAAACTTCATTAGAAACTCTGAAAAATTTTTTTGCATCTAAACTGAAAACTACTAGGCATAATTCATAAGCTTGGAAAATAAATTTGTTAATGCCGATTTCTCAATTCGGCCAAACTACATTAAAAATATAATTCATTTCATCATATAAAAGTAGTAGTAAATAAATTTTGAAATAGATTAGCAAAATATTAATGCTTTATCGACATTGAACTTGTTTCCCAATAATGTGGATAAAACAAACTCCCGAAAGTATTGGTAGGAGTAACGAAAAACACAAGAAATCAACTGTAGACAGATATTCAACCTCCTAGGGTGGTGTTTTCAAAAATCAAGTATTTATAGTAAACTACTACAATACAAGTATAATTATAACATTATTTCCAGAATATGAATAATATTTACTTATCTAAAACAATATTGACACAATCCCTTAATTCTTTAATCAATGCATTTGCTTGTGTACAAGATAAAACTGTCTAGGGTCAGAGTTGATAACCTTTTAATAGTGTACCTAATATCATTATTTCAACAAATCTTAAAAAATATATTACCTCCTCAAAGTACCTAGAAATTCAAATGCTTTTTATCAGAATACTGTGTACGAATAGTAAGTTTACAAAATACAAATCTTGCAAAATTGAATACAACCAAATCAATTTTAAATTTACCTGAAGAAGACGAGCAACATTCAGGTGTAAAAATTACTGCTTTTTTGGTGTCTTTTTATTTTTGCACAGTGCACACGTTTTCTAGTACAAACTGATAACTTTCCCGCCAAGTCAAAATTTTCGGGTAACCTCGCATTATACATATGTATTTGTGTTAAATAATTTGCAGGCTGTGATTCTATTGATATTTCTTTTATACATTTTTTATTACTATCAAAGGTATCAAGATGCCTACAGGACGGGCCATAATCCATAACATTGAGTTTAAGACTTTAAATATAGACCCTCCAAAACAGTTGGAAAAAATCAAAATCAAAAATGGGCAAAGTAAGTACCACATAATGAGAATATTGCAGAAATATCTATTTATATATCACTTTAAAATTGTGTAAGAAGGTAAAAGTTCATCTAAGTTTTGTGTAAGAGGATATCTTTTGGAATTACGATGTGAAAATAACACCATTGATAACTTTTGACCTCTGTTCATAGGGGATATATGATGTGTATTGTAAATGATTTCGATCATTTTAGATAAGTTTTCAAAGATGACTGCATCTGCTAAGGCCCAAATTCTTTCGGGGACTGCTATTGCACGGTAAGAATTTTATTTACGTACTTACCATCTGAATTTCTTATTAGAACATGTATGTGATAATAAGCTGCTAATAAAAATACTAATTTTCATTCAGTGAAATACAGGAGCAATTACGAAATGATGTGGCAGAATTACAGAAGAAAATACCGAATTTTCAACCAGGTTTAGCCATTGTCCAAGTAGGTGGTAGAGAAGATTCCAATGTATATATTCGGATGAAAATTAAGGCAGCGTCTGAGATCGGTATAAAGGCTACGCATATCCGGTTACCTAGATCCGTAACTGAGACGGAGGTACTTATTTATACACACGTTTACACGTTTCTGTTAATAGGAAAATTATACCCCGGCACTCTTTGATTTTTTAGCTTTTAAATAAAATTCACAGGCTCAATGACGATCCAGACGTCCATGGAATTATCGTACAGATGCCTTTAGATTCTGAGAATGTCATCGATTCTCATTTGATAACAGACTTGGTCTCTCCTGAAAAGGATGTTGATGGGTAAGTACCAATCTTAGTTACCTTTAAAAAATTGTTTCAGAAACAGTTGAAAAAAAAATTATTATTAATATAAAGTCTTGATCGTAAAGGCCCAATACTAGAGCCGCGTAGAACTCCTAAATGGGTTGAAGAGGAAAAATGATATATTTCCATATTTTTGGTTGGTTTAGATGACATTTTTTCTAGTTTAAATACGATCAATGAAGGAAGGGTAGCCGTTGGAGATCTTTCAAGATTTTTACCCTGCACGCCTAACGGTGTCATAGAATTAATAAAGCGGTCAGGTATTACCTTGGAAGGCGCCCAAGCGGTAGTTTTAGGCAGGAGTAAAATTGTAGGAACACCAGCGGCGGAATTGTTGAAGTGGCATCATGCTACTGTAACGGTTTGCCACTCGAAAACGAAGGACTTGAAGGAACAGGTAAAGTGGAAGATTTTCCGATGTCTTCTTCATGAAATTAAAGAAATAGTGTTTGAATAACATTTCTTGTAGTGCCAGAGGGCTGATATCCTTGTGGTGGCCATCGGCAAGGCTAAACTCGTCAAGGGTAGTTGGGTGAAACCTGGAGCCGTCGTTATAGACTGTGGCATCAATGCCGTTCCAGGTGGGTACTAATTTTTTATCGTTTACGTTCTAAATGAGCCTGTTTGTATGAGATTTTAAAATACCACCACATATTTGACCAGTAAACTCGAAATACAAAGTCTTAATAAGTTAGTAGTTTTTTTACCATTTACCTAAGTAAATATTAAAAAAAAATCATTAGAAGTAGCAAAATATTTAATAAATCCCAAATAATGTGATATTTTGAATAATAAAACAAAAACAAAGAATTACTGCAAAATAACGATAAAAAAATCATAACTCTGAAAATAAATTGAAATCAAGTGCCAGTTGATTAGTAATTCAAATGTTTTAAAACAAAAGTAATTTAAGCAGTGCCATCTTTTGACATCGTAGTTCACGTTTACATTGACAACTAATAAGCCAGATGCCGTTTCATTATCATTGCTGACCGATCTCCCTATCTTATCTGTCCAAAAAATAGTAGGGAAGGGGCAATATTTATATCTGGACACTACATAGCGTATTAGTTCCTATATTCACTTTCACTATATTGTTAATAAAGATACAGTGAGCGAAAGTGCACGAAATAATACCAGCAATATTTAACAAGCGTGAAATTGGTATTGCTGAAATATGGAATCGGACAAACAAAGTGGTTAGTATAATTTTTTATACTAAATATGTTGACAAATATGATTATAATATACAAGTAAATAATTTTTTTAACAGAAAAATTTATTAAATTGCTTTTAGCTAAAACTACTGAAAAACTAATTTGTCTAACTTTAAAATCAACAATGACTGAATAGAATAACATTGTCCTATTTTTATATTGGCTACAAAATGATTTGTTTATACATTTATAATTCTATTCTACTATAGTGGTATTATTGTGCAAATTATATGATTGGAAAATTACACGTAGTTAGTACTGGATGAAGAATGTGGTAAATTGGAGTGGTCAGGACTGTATTGTATATTTTTTTAAATTTCCTTATTTATGTACTTATTGCTTTCTGTAATAAAATGGTAATTTGGAAATATTTCAGATTAAATACAATTAAATACAATTTTCAAACATATCCCCAGAAACATTATGTATTATTCGAAAAGATTTGATATTTAAAATATTTGTAGTCCAATTCTGGATCTCTTTCAACCATGTAGTATCAATTTCACATCTTATACATTATTTAAGTGTAAAATCACCTATTAGTAACACATTTACCTTCCGGGTTATGTGTTTACATTTTTTAATCAATATTGGCAATATTGATAAGAATCAAATTAGTGTTCCCTAAACATGGATTCAAGGAAACAAAATGGTCAGTACTTGCAGTTTTTTTTATTGAATTTCCTATTAATGCTTATAAAAAATAATAAGGACTATTAGAAATTATTGTAAAAATATATAGGGTATCCTGAATTATATGTGGACCAGCTACAATGTAAAAAACAAACTAAATTCAATATTTTTATTAAATGAATGGTGAAAACGCATATATAGAAACTATAACTTCTCTAAAATTGTAAATCCAACGCCTTATACATTTTCAAATGTAAATTTTTGAAGAGTTGTAATAACAATTTTTTTTATTCAAAATCTAACATGATGTACTACAAAATTTTTAACCCAAAGCCTGCTACATTTTTTAATGTGCCAATTTTTGAAAAATTATAGTTTTATTTTTTTAATCATTAGACTAATTTTGCAAAAACAGGTATAAATCTTGTGTGACCTTTTTTGTTGACATTAATTCAGAAAAAATTATATTATTAAAACAGAAAAACATACCAGCAAACTTGCATCTTTATAAAAAATTGTCACGTAAAATTGGCACCAAAAAAAAGTAGCTGGTTTAAAATTTGCAATTTTCAGAAAAATAAAGTTTCCAAATATGTGTTTTTAGGGTTTACTTAATAAAAAATATTAGAATTTCTTTTTTTTTTTCTTATGTTCATGGTCTGTACATCTAAATTGGCACATCCTGTATATTAAATTGTTTTTTATCCCCAATGGAAAAACATTTTTGGATAGCCCTGGTATAAGTAATTATAATAAAAAAAATATTTATATACAGGGTATTTTGAAAATGGCGCCATAAATGCCTCAAAATATTAGACAATTTTTTTCTCGTCATGGGCCTTTCGTCGTTTATATTTGAGATACACTGTTAAAGATGATTTTTTTTTAAATAAAATTTTGGACATATTCTTGCTACAAGGTGTTACACGTTCTGAACTATTTGCTAGATATACAGGGCGGCACAAAAGTATGGAAACCCCTGAATAACTCCTCAGTAGTGCATTTTCTTTAAAAATGATAAATACAAAAGTTTTAGGATTTTTCCCTGGCTATTCAATGACGCTCTTGTATTGTCAAAATACCTTGTATATATTGGTTTTTCTGTTAAATATACTGCGACTCTATTCAAATGGAAACATCTTCATAAAAAATTTGCTTACATCACACATTTGAATTTATTTTCAAACCTACTTTTTACTTTTCTTTTCAAATGTCAAATTTGATAAAAGTTTGAACATTTTATATGTAGATTTAATTTATTTACAATTCCAGACATCGCTTAATTGTTTAAGAACAGAAGTGATAAAAAATCTTTAATGTTAATTTTACAATCAGCAATATTTTTTTGGAAATTTTGAAGGAATTCAATTGAGCGGGTGCAGAATCCAGTGTGTAGCCCGATAATAACAAATTTGCTAATCCATTTTTGTCAAATTTGAAAAAATAAATAAAAAGTAGGTTGATAATTCAAAATAAAATCAAATGTAACACAATGTAATAGGCTTTTTAGCTCCTTCTTAAAAAAACCCAAATTAAATCAGTCAATAAATTTTTGTACAAGGTTGTTTCCATTTGAAATCGACCACACTGTATATAATATTTTTTATGATTTAAATTTATTCAAAACCACCTTGGAGTTTTTTTTTTCTCATTTTATATTATTTGCATTTATTACATAATGATTTGAAAAACGTACATCTAATGTTACACCATTAATTGAAACATCTCAACATTTCTTTAAAAAAATGCTCTAGGTGATTTGATGAATCAAATATTTTGTCGAACTCCGAGTAAATAAAATTACTGTCTTCACGACGTTATTATAGTTTCGATAACCTCTTTTTAATTAACTAATGTATCTAAATATCATGTTACTGAACTTCTATGATAACAGATTTTTAATTATCCAGTCTTATGACTTGGTATCAAAGTTATGTAAAATTTCATTGCAAACAACAAACATGTATCTTAAGGGGAGTAAACAAGTTTTATCACTTTTCAAAACGCTTCTTTGTAAAATTAGTGCCGCTTAAAGTTTATATTTAATTTATTTTTTTTAAGCTACTGATTAAATATTTTTTTTTAGTATCACTATATTTGCAAACAAGAAATAGAATAACTGCATAGTTTTCTAAATATAATTGCCACATTTGTGGATCCTTTTTAGACTCGTCGAAAAAATCAGGACAGGCCTTAGTAGGTGACGTAGACTATGACGAAGTCAGCAAGGTAGCGTCCCACATTACCCCGGTCCCTGGGGGTGTGGGACCAATGACCGTTACTATGCTGATGAAGAATACCGTGCAAAGTGCACAGAAAGCTGCTGACCGCTTACTCAACACTAGCTGGAATTTAAAGCCATTGCCTTTGAAGCTGCAGACACCAGTACCAAGGTACCAGAACACAAATATATAGGGTGTCCAAAATTATATCGTTTGGTTTTCAGTGATATTGCGATCGCTAGAGCGCAAGAACCGAAGGATATTACCCAACTGGCGGAAGAAATAGGAATTTCTCCTTCTGAAATTTCACAGTATGGTAGCAAGAAGGCGAAAGTTTCCTTGTCGATACTGAACAGGCTCAAGGACAAGAAGAACGGGCGATATGTAGTCGTTACAGGGTAAAATAAAGTTTTACAATTCTATTTTAGTTTTACATTGAACTTTTTTTGTTTCCAGAATGACACCAACTCCCTTCGGAGAAGGAAAGAGTACCACTTTGTTAGGATTGGTACAAGCTTTGTCCACGCAACTGAAAAAGAATGCCTTCGCCACAATGCGACAACCTTCGCAAGGCCCTACATTTGGCATTAAAGGTAACAGATTACGATAACCCTGCAACAATTATTTGATTATTAATCGTACAGGTGGCGCCGCTGGCGGTGGTTACTCGCAAGTAATCCCGATGGAAGACGTCAACCTCCACTTGACGGGCGACATCCACGCCGTCACGGCAGCTAATAACCTTTTAGCGGCCCAATTAGACGCAAGGATCTTTCACGAAGCTACCCAAAAGGACCAGGCCCTCTACGATCGTCTGGTGCCTAAAATAAGGGGCGAGAGAAAGTTCTCGAATATCCAGTTGAGGAGACTTAAACGGCTTGGAATCGACAAAACCGATCCCGACAGTTTGACCCCTGAAGAAAGGTCGAAGTTCGCTAGATTGGATATTGATCCTAAAAATGTTGTTTGGAACAGAGGTAAGCCAGTCACATTTAAATTATTGTTTTTTCAGGTTGTTATACTGCTGTCTACTTACATTGTACTTCCATAGCCTTTAACTTATCCTTGTTCTCGGGCTAGGCTTTGTGTGGGTTGACCCGCTATCAGATCCTCTAGGTCCTGAGGTTCCATCCGCACCAGTTTTAGAACAATAAGAACTGAAATTAATATCAGGGCAGGTCTAAGGGCTCTGATAGCAAAATCGCTCCAACAAAGCTTGGCCCGAGAACAACAAACGCAGGTCGAAGATTTCTAGCTAAGGCTATGAAAGCATGGTGCCAAATTATTAAATAAAGCTAACAACACGTGCGCCAACTGTAATTTATGATTACTTAACCACAAGTAGTGATGTCACCAGATGATGACGTATCAGTTGTGTGGTGGGGTATTACCTTCGAATTCTTGACATGCACTGATTTTCATGAAAATTGGTGAATAAGCTCATTTCACCCTCATTTACAAAAGTTACAAAGTTACATATCTATAATGTGTGCTTATTGTTTTTAGGGGGTGAAAACTACCCCTTCTTGCAAAAAACGTAAAAACCACAGATTTAAGTGTTGTGTCAATAGAATAAGCAGTCTTTTGTTTTAAATAATAATTTTTGATTTGTAGCAACATTTCAACCCTTAAAATCCACCCTTTAAAAGGAAAAAAAACAAAAATTATTTTTCGCGGCTCTGAAATGTTTTGGGTGAGCAATATTGAAGAATTGAATATTTTTTACTGTTTATGAAATAATACAAGATTTATTGCAACGTTTCAACCTTTAAAAAACAACCCTTATTCCAGAAAATAAAGCAAAAAATTTTTTTCACATCTTCATAGCATTTATAATGAATGAAAGACTCATCACTGTTTATAATGTTATTGATGATTCATTGCAACGTTTCAACCCTTAAAAACAAACCTTAATGAGGAATTGAAGAATTTTTACCTGGTTCAAAACACTTAACGATACTTTACTAAATCCGAGATTACTTAAAACTCGAAACTTAAATTATGTAATTAGCGAAAGGGAAAATAAAAATTATTTGTGTATTATACAATTATACTTTATTATCAAAAATTTACATATCGTTTAAAGAACCATCACCATTGTCGACTTCCTCTGTTTGGACATGTGCGTGTGTGTGTTTGTGCATATATTACGCCTCGGAAACTATTGGAAATGAAGCCATTTACACGATCCGACAATTTTCACTGAATAATACAATTCGTTTTTTCACGATAACTTTTTTAATTTTTAATATTTTTCATCGCTCCAAAAAGCAATTTTCAGGGAATTGCAAGAGCTACAAATCAACCTTTATATTTGAAGAGTCCTGAACTCTTCGTTTTCGAGATTTTTAGGTTTTAAGGGCTCAAAGAAGGTGGTCCTTATACGCAAATGCAAACTAAAAAACTTAAAATCAGTTAATTTTTGCTCTAAAGAAAAATTTAAAAAGCTTTAATTTTGAACCCCTGAATTTTTCACGTATCTTGTGTTGTTTAGTTTTTGAGTTATTTTGAAAAAAATAGATTTTTTTTTAAAATTAAGAAAATTATTTTTTCATTATTTCAAACTTTTATTTTACATTTAGGCATTCTAAACAAGTCAAACTTGCAAAGCCTATTATTAGTACCTAAATAAAGTCAACTGTACATGGATTACGCTTAGTATCTATTTTTATGGTTCAGCCATAGATTTTATTGTTGATTTTTTCTTCGAAAAAAATGAGATGACCATATTATTTTCATTATAATTCCGCGAGTTTTTGAGCTAAGAAATTTTTTCAAAAAGCATTTTAAAGGTCTTTCCAAGCACTTTAAAAAAGGTTTTATTCATTTTCTTCGAAAAATTAGTTCTTTTGCCATTATTTCACCTTTAGAGAGTGATAACTTGGTTATTATTACATCTACGGTAATCAACAAAAAATAAATCGATTCGTTACTTCAAAAGCTTTATTTTTGCTCTATATGGGTTTTTCGATAAAACGCAAGGTTTTCGAGTTATTTATCAATAATGGTTGAAAAACATGCATTTTTTAGATGAAAAATCAACATTTTCAATCGCAAATAACTCGGAAAATATTAATTTTTGGAAAAAACGTTATAGATCATTTTTTGCTTAGAATTCAACCCTCTATTGATTTTTGCGAATAAAATGGGTGCCCCAGGGTGAAAGCACACATCGCCACTATGTAACTTTTGTTTCTTGAGCAATTCTCTACTTACTGTTAAAATTCCACGTCAATCGGTGCGTGTCAAGAATTTGGACCTAAAAACCGTCATATACTGAACTATACATCCAAAATATTTTTTCAGTCATGGATATCAATGACAGATACCTCCGCGAACTGACAATCGGCGAATCCCCAACGGAAAAAGGTCTGACAAGGAAAGAAGGTTTCACCATCAGCGTAGCCAGCGAGATAATGGCGATTCTGGCTTTAGCCACGGATTTTAAGGATTTCAAGGAACGCTTGGCACAGATGGTGGTGGCTTTTGACAGGAAGGGCAAGCCTGTTACAGCCGACGATTTAGGTGTGACGGGTGCTTTGATGGTACTCCTGAAAGACACGGTAGAACCCACACTTTTACAATCGTTGGAGGGTTCTCCGGTTTTCATACACGCCGGACCTTTCGCCAACATCGCTCACGGTTCTAATTCCATCATAGCGGATAAAATCGCGTTGAAATTGGTGGGAGAAGACGGGATTGTGGTTACCGAGGCCGGATTTTCTTCAGAAGTCGGTAAGATGACACTAAAAATACAGGAGTTCGTAACAAGCCCTGGAATTTTTTGTATTATTTTTTTCAGGCATGGAAAAATTCTTCAACATCAAATGCAGAGCTTCCGGTGACATCCCCAGTGCCGTGTTATTAGTGTCTACGATAAGAGCGCTGAAAATGCATGGTGGAGGACCCACCGTTTCACCCGGATCACCCCTCGCTCCAGAATACACCCAAGAGAATTTAGATTTGCTTCGTAAAGGCATACCAAACGTCCTTAAGCACGTCAGCAACGCGGTCAAATTCGGCGTGCCCGTTGTAGTGGCTATCAACCATAGAGCGTGAGTACTATCACTTTCCCGTGCTTACAAACTTTAAACCATTTGTTTTTGTTTCAGGACGGACACCCAGGCTGAGATAGACCTTCTAAGAAACGCTTGTAAGCAATCGGGTGCCTTTGATGCGGTGGTTTCTAAGCATTGGGCGTTGGGCAGTCTAGGAGCCGTCGATTTGGCCAAAGCCATGTATGCCGCTACCGAACACCCGAGTAACTTCAAGTTCCTGTATCAGCTGAGCTTGCCGTTGAAGGATAAAATCGAAATAATCAGCAAAGAGATGTACGGCGCTGGGGAGATTACTTATTCTGAGGAAGCATTGGAGAAGATTCGTCAGTATGAGGAACAAGTAAGTTCAGATTAAAACTTTTTTTTCTTAAATTCCTTCGTAAAAACAAGCTTTTTTGGAATATTCATTCTCCATTACTGGACAGACTTGAATTGTACATGTTTTTCACAATGTCCCACTGAAATTTAACAATGAAGACACACAAACACACATTACTGACGTTAAACAGGCAAATAAATAACTTTATAAGGTACTGTAATTGAAGTAACGCAATGCAATATGCATAGTCCAAGTAAAAAATTGGAGATTTTTATACTCATTAATGCAGATCAGAAAAAGAACCGGTCCAAAATCAGTTCCTTGTGGAATTCCCGACATATTTTCTTAAATCTCTATTTTAACAAGGTACAATTTTTAGGGTTTTGGTACTTTGCCAGTCTGCATGGCGAAGACACCGTTATCCCTGACCGCGGACCCCACGGTTAAGGGAGCACCAGTTGGTTTCACTTTACCTATTACCAATATGACCATATCCGTCGGAGCCGGATTCGTTATACCGTTAACTGGAGCGGTATGTAACATTCACAAATTAATTCTTTTTGTGTATTGTTTAAATTTTTTTTAGATAACGAAAATGCCCGGATTACCAACAAGACCAGCGATATACGACATCGACTTGAACATCGAAACTGGAGAAATCGAGGGATTGTTTTAAATCGAATTCTAATGAGATTTTATGTTACCAAAAATATTATTTTTGTAGATATGCATAAATCTATGCCAAAGTTATTACGTGAATGGTTTTTAAAGGAAAAATAATTTACTGATATATACGTTTATATACACATAGAAATGTTAAAGGAGTAAATTTATTTTATTTTAGGATTCTGCATTTTTATTTTCAGCGTTTCTCTCGCAAGGGGCCCTTTCTCAAAATATCTTTAAATTTGCGGCTGGGTGGCGTATGGAATTTTAGTCTGCATAAAAACAAGTTTTCTCATCTTATTTATATGAATATTTGATGCATTGTTGCTAAAACTTCTCCGAACTTGGAAATTTATACAGAGTGTAAGAAGTATGACTGCCATAACTTCAGCACGAGATAAAGTAATCATAAATGAACAAAAAAGTTGTATACTAAAGGGGCATAAGATTGACAGTTTTTAAAATACAGCGAGTATTAATATCGGGGAGTTTCATTACAATGTGACAACAGTGCTACACAGCTGATGCACGCCACGTTAGGCTATTGATTATATCCAAAAAAACAGGGTTAAAAGGAACTATGACGTTCAAGCAATTTTATTGCATGAATCGTTCAAAGGGTCATTTTAGATGAAAAAACCGCGGAGTGCTATTAGGTTTGAGGGTTGCTTTCGCTGTACCGCAAGAATAAAATGCTCTCTCAACGGTAATAATAAAGTATTTTATTGAAAACTAAGTTGTATAGAAAAAGACGTGTTGACGGGGTGAGTGTTCGTTGGAGAGTCTCTGTGTGTGGAGTCGGTCGTAGGTATATGAGTACGCATCTGGTCGCTGGCGCCAGCCCGTCGTAGACCCTTCCTGGAATGCGGGTACGTCCGGCGGCGTCCTGCTGGCGCTCTTGATGTAATGCTTAAAAATGGGTCACTTGCGGCATGTGTACCCACAGGTTAGAGGGTGGAAATTAGAGATGAGGGTGAAAATGCACCCCTTTCAGTTTTTTAATTGTAGCTCGAAAGCGAAGCAAAATTTCGGTAAGTTCATAGGAAAAATTATTTAGAGAAATGAATTTCCCATCGCAATGGCTTATTTAAAAAATTTAAAAGAAAAATTTTATGCAAAAAATCGTTAATAAACAATTAAAAAAAAAGCAAAAAATATGATTTTTGATTTTTTTTACTTTTTCGACTAATATTTTTTTTAAGTAGGCAAAGAAAATTGCTGTACAAAAAAGCTAGATGAGATTCCCTTCAAAATGATGCTTTTCAAAAGTTTTTGGACTAATATTGACTGAGTTATAACCAAACTAAATATTTTTTAGAATTTCGTCGTTTTTAACAATGATTATAATTCTTATTATTTTTACAACAAATTGATTCTCTACTCAATAAAAAATTATTTCAAAAGTTTTATTTGCTAATAATAAATAAAGATTTTCACAACTTGAAAGTCAAAAAAGAAAAAAAATCAAAAAATCTTATTTTTTGCTTTTTTAAAATTGTTTATTAACGATTTTTTTATAAAATTTAAATAAGCCATTTCGATGGGAAATTCAATTTTCTACAAAACTTTTCCTATGAATACCAAAATCTTCAATTTCAACCCTCTAATTTAATAGCACCGTTTTTCATTTTTAATGATCCTTCGAACAAGTCATGTGATGAAAATCCTTGAACGTCTTATTTCCTTCCTTTTTTGTAAAAAATGAGAAAACGTATAAGGGTAAACACGACGAAAATTGAAAAATTGGCTAATTGTAAGTTTGTGCGGCTATATATGTCAATTTTCATCGAAAAATACTTTACAACCTCTTATTTTGAAGGAAATTTTATCTTCTTTTTTTTCTATGAAGCAATGTCTATACCCATCTTTACTCAAAAAAAAAACTAGAGGCAAAAAAGTAAAAAAAAACAAAAAATTGAATTTTTTGATTTGTTTTCAAATCGTTTATTAATCTAAAATGTACGATTCATGTAATAAAGTATCTTAAACATCATAATTCCTTTTAAAATCCTATAATCAATAGCCTACGTGTGCGCGCGGCAGACTTGTCCTACGGAAAAAATGTAAACAACTATTATTGTGAAACATTTAGTACATTTCAAGACAATTGTTTTCCAGTTTTGAAATAAATAAAATAAAATGTATCGATTTTGTAGTACAAGGATAGTGTTGTGCTTAAATTTTAACTTGAATTTTAGTAATTATGAACCTCTTAAAACAGGAACTTGACTTTTAATCAAATTATGAATTTGAAAAATATGTAATTCACGGCGTCGAAATAATCATACGTATTAAAAATAATTTAGGGACTTACCAAAAAGCAAAATTCTGTAATTTTTAAACACGCAGTTACAAAACAAACTACAACATATATTCAAAACGTCCACCACCATTTTCGATGCACACACGATACCTTCGAATCCAATTTTCGAGCACTTGCTGGAAAACACCTCAAGAAAAGGAAATAGTGGTTCACAAAAAACACTCCGACATGGTCCAATTCCAGAAACCAACACCAACTGAATTGCGTATTGCTGAACACCATAGTACCTCGTGTTATTCGCCGCGCCGTTGTCACATTGCCCGATATGAATTTTATCGAATTTTAAATTTATTACGTTAATTATTTTTTACAATTAAGCATAAAGGACTTCAAAAAAGTGATAAACATTGTATTTTATGCACGCATTTATGTCAGTATTCCTTAATTAATCGAATTTTTGTACATCAAGTTGCAGATTTTGATAATTTTTTTTCTCGGAAATGGTCGAGTTTAGGACCCACGTCATATAAGGTTTTTTTTTGTTTATTTTAATGTATTCTATCATCTGTTGAAATTAAGGCAGTTAAACTTCTAACACCCTGTATAGTCCGTACAATATTTGTTGAGACAGAATTCCAAGAAAAGGATAAGCCAATAAAGTTCTGTTATCGGAACTACTGTAACAATTTACCGCGGCGTGCCTTGAAATTTTCTGCCAGTCTTTCTACCTCGGGTGACGAATGTGGTAAATTCCAAGACAGTGACGCAAGGGTCTTCTTGAAACTCTACCTCAACAAATATCGTACGGACTATACATATTTTATAAATTTTTGTTTTTTAAAGAACGTTTATAATGCAATTGCATTTTAAAATCAAATTGTTCATCATTTAAAAAGATAAGTCTTGACGTTTTTTAACTAAAAAAAATCTGGGGGAAAAATTGCAAACTGGCAGCACTAAGTAGTCATGCTCATGTGTATGGGAATTGATTTCCAGATTTGTGAAATTTTATGATGAAAAGGCGCAATTATAATTAACATTAGTGTTCGTTATCCTCCAACGAGTGATAATAAAAATCTTTAATTTCAGTAACCTGTAATATCGCATAAAAAAATAGAAATGTCATTAACTTTCAATAAAGAACAAGAATGGGTCAAATATCGTTCCTTGTGGAACCTCTAATAGTATTTTTCTGTAGTCCAAGTAACAAAATGGTTAAACGTTGAAAGTTATTACCAGAACTAATAAAACGCAAAATGTCTTGGAAATACTAGTTTTCCCACATTTTATTGAATAAACAAATATACCTGAAACATCTACTTAACTTTCACTGCCGCTCGGAGCTTGGCCGACCTACTCCTCGGATTGTTCTCCACCTCCTCGTATTTCGGAACAATCACATGCTTATGCAGAAGCTTCCAATTCGGATCCATCAGGTCTTCGATCAGTTCCTCATTCCCGACGTTCATATGACTGCTGTACTTCAAAGGTAAGGGATTGGCCGTGTTCTCTATCAGATTCCCAGACAAATGCCTCTTTACTATCGTATCCTCTAACGATTGGAAAGTTATCGTAACAATCCTTCCGCCGATTTTAAGATAACGATGGGCGAGGATCAGTCCGTAATTGATTTCGTTCAGTTCGTTGTTGACGAATATCCTCAGAGCTTGGAAGGTTTTGGTGGCCACGTGGGTGCGCCTTTGCAGTTTATCGAAACGGAAGTCTTCCGTACACACCGATTCTACTAAGTCGGCTAATTCTTCTGTCGTTGTAAGTTTTTTGAATAAGTACCTGGCGTCGATTATGGCTCTGGCAATTTTTCTTGCTTGTTTTTCTTCTCCGTAATACTTTATTATTTTGTATATGTCTTCTTCGCTCGCTTTAGCTAATACATCGCTGGCAGTCGGAGAATCTAATAACAAGAGGATTTTTTTTGATAAGTAAAAAAGTTAGGTTAGGTCGGGTTGTTTTTCTTTATAGCCATAGCATAAAACTAATTTCTGTTTTAAAACAATTATTTATGCTGATTTATGAAATATATATAATAAAAAATAAATAAAACTTACTACTCTGACATATTTGAAATATTTTTAAAAATTATTTAATTTTTAACAGAATTATTAGTATTCTTCAAAGCACTATGTTTAGTTTGTGAATCTGTGTCAATGACTTCTGATATTTTAAACAAACTACATAATATCAATCCACCTGATGTGATATGACAATGGGACACTAGTAATAATAAATTTATATATTTGACAAAATACTGTTTTAGCAAAAATCCTCCAGTAGTTAAATATTTCCTAAGAACACTAATTTTGTATTAACATACCCGGACATCTATTTCCATCCATTCGCATATCCAAAGGACCATTTTTGGAAACGGAAAACCCCCTCTCGGCTTCATCGAACTGCATAGAAGAGCATCCGAAGTCAAAAATAATACTGTCGATTGAATTCTGCTTAACACTTTCCGCTTTGAGTAAGTTTGGTAGTTCAGAGAAACATCCCAGTAGTGGTGTCACCTGATGTGGATACTCTTCAGACAACTTCTGCGCATACTGAAAAGCTGTTGGATCTCTATCTAATGCAAGCAGTTTTATGTTTGGTGCGGATTCTAATATTCTTCTACTATGACCCCCTGCACCAAATGTCATGTCTAAAATGACTTGATCTTTTTCAGGTTTTAGATAATGTAAAGCTTCTTCGGCCAGTACAGCGATATGTGCCGGTTTGTGCTCAGCACATTTCTCAGCGACTGTACTTAATTTTCTTAAAAAGCTAAATCTAAGAGTGCCTTTCATTGTTCCAATCATTACTCTGTATCTTTCTTCAAGGAAAACAATTTTTTCAAGAAAGACCGCTCTTCTTTCTTTAGTTCTTCTAAGAATTCGTTCGACAAAACTTCGTGGCACTGTTCACCGGTGAGACCGGTAGCCGAGGATGACAACAATCGTCTGTATTTATTTTTGTTTTCGTTAGAAACTAATTTGTGTATGGCAAGGTACTGTCTGTCCCAGTATTTGTAATTCGTTTCAAATTTGTTTTCCTTGTACGCTGTATTTATGTAATTTCTCAAAAATTCGCCTAGGTCCCTGAAATTATATTGTAAGGTTTAAATTCTTCATAATTATCACCTCTTACCTTCCACCGACTTTACTTTTATCTATGGGCCACTTTTCTAATAATTGCAAGATACGTTTATAATTTCCAGCTGCGGCTGCCATAACGAAAACAGATTTTTAGTGCATTTTCAATTTTCACTATTTTCAGTGTCAGTAATTTTTCAGCATTCTCTGAAAATTTCATAATCGATCGATCAGTGCTACCAACAGTGTCAAAGTGAAACAAATAAGTCACTAATGAATACCCAATACTAGGCAAGTTCGGTATTAACGTCTAGACGCTCCAGATGTGTTTTGTTCTTTTCTAATTGTATGAGATGAAAAGACAAAGAGATACATCTAGAGCATCTAGATGTTAATACCGAACTTGCCTACAATAACCCAATCATATGTAATTTTTTGTCTTGTGTTCTCATAAAAGGATTTTTTTTAAGAAAATTACAAACAAACCGTAATAAAATGCAACGATGACAATGACTTTTTTATTTTTACCGCGATTAGAAAGGACTAGATGAAAAGTTCTTAAATAATGACATTTCTTATAGCAGACAACTGACAATTGACATCTACATTTTAACTTTAACACAGAATACAGAATGCATGCTCACTTTCAGGTGACAGCATATGAATAGGTGTTCAGCCCCTTGAAAAAAAAGTACTTGGGAACCGGAGGATTTCCTAGTCCTCCCTTAAAATATGTCAAAAATGTTGTCATTAGCCACAAGGACCATACCCCGTTCTGTAATTAGAACATTAACTAATTATTTGGAAAGAAGCATATCAGAGGTAAGTTAAATAAGCTGAAAATAGACCTTGTTAGTGCAGCTCCATTTAATTAAATTATGTAATATCATTTATTACAAGAATAATTAATTTTTCCCGGTGAAACGTGCGCGTGCAGTATGGGTTATATAATCACTAATTAACATTTTCAGGTACCTTCGAAGCGAAGGATAGTTTGTCAAGGGGCTGGCGTAGTATGTAAATATAGTGTAAAAGTAAATAATGGAGTTTTATCAAGGTAATTTTTTTTTAAATGTATTTTGTTTGTAAATACTTATTTAATATTTTTTTTAGAGCTCAGAAAACTGTTACATGTCAAAGTGATAGGTATTTCAGGACATCAGGGGCTCTTCTTGACAGTCAGGTCGTAAAATGTCCACCTTTTCCAGAGTCTGTCTCTGAAGGTGATGTAAGGTATGCGAAATTTGGCAAAATTTATTATAAATTTAACAGTACCAGGTCACATCCTGCGCCGCTTGTATACATATCGTTATATGAGATAATCACAGATTCGAAAAGGCCTATTTTATTGGGAACAGATAATTAAAAACATGTTTTGATTGTTGTTTAATGTACTACTTGTGTAAGCATTAGAAAAACTAATTTTTATTTATATAAATATTTGACGTAGATATGTTTTATCTGTAATGAACACTTGTGACTATTTATACTGCTGCAAATTTCGCCCGTGTGATAAATAACATGCAAATATGCTTGTTATTAACGGATGAAACCTATTTTCTGAGATAATTATGATCTGTTTACTTAAACGTTTAAATCTAATTTTCAAATTTTTTTTATTAATCATGATTTAATATTATTAGCTGTCTAACATTAATAGGCATTCAGTAACAAATACACATATAGAAAGTTTAACTGTTAACATGTTAGGCTTGAAAAAAAAGTTGGCGACCACGTCGGACTCGATGAAGTGGTAATGGAAATCGAGACGGACAAAACGGCAATGCCAGTGCATTCGCCAGGTGCCGGCATCATCGAGGAAATTCTAGTCAAGGATGGTGACACCGTCAAGGCGGGTCAGCCACTGTTCAAGTTGAATGTTACCGGCAAGGCTCCTCCTGAGGCTGCTCCTAAGGCAGCACCACCCCCGGCTGCTCCCAAGGTTGAGGCCACCCCACCTTCAAAGCCTGGTGAGTTAATATTTGCTAAAAATTAGCATCTTTTTTTAATGTGTTCTTAATCGTTAAAATTTCTTTGTTGGTAATTAATATAACAGTAGTTTAAACTAGGTATTAAATTTTTAACAGTGAAAGTGCTGTAAATTATTATTGCCCAAACTAGCGCAAAGCGATTGTGTAATATTTGAAATCTAGGCCATGTAGAATTAACGAAATACGGATTAGAACTACAAGATATAGCAAATAATATACTTAATACATGGTTAAATTTAATAATGTACAATTGTTACGTTATTTTTGGTAATATGGTCGTTTCCATACATTATAGAGTGTCCTAGAAATAAATGTGAAAATTTTTACCAATTTATCAAAGGCTATAACTTTCGGCTCATGAAAAAAATTAAAAGGTCATGATTTTTTGAGTTTAAAAACTTCATAATCATGATTAAAATGGATAAAAAATTTTTTTTGAGGTTTTCTTACATTTTTACCGCAAATAACATTTAAATTGATGAAAAAAAATTTATTTTTTGTTTTATTGGAAAACCTTCCGAACATTGAAGAAAACAAAATCCAATTGTTTCCAGCACGATTCGGCTTTTTCGTCCTATGCTTCTGTTCATCAGCTTTTAATTAAAATAAAACGAAAGTTGACGACCCAAACCAGATTTTGACTCCGATTCATACTGTTTTTTGAGATAATTTCTAATTAATTTTTGTGCAGTCTGTAATCACTTAAAAAACTGTTTTTTTTCAAAATATCCTTTTTCTTCTCTGAAAAAAAATTTCAATTTTATTTTTTTTTTTCATCAATTTATACATTATTTGCGGTAAAAATTTTCATCATGATTATGAACTGTTTATGCTCAAAAAACATGACCCTTCAATTTTTTTGAAAGGTTTGACTGTTTGAAACAGAAATGGGTCGCTACCTAGATCGAGATGAAACTTCACAGAGTTCTTCTGGGTATATCGAACTGTAAAAGTCATGCTTAACATTAATCATTTCCTGAATATTTCTAATTTAGCAGTAAATTTTTTAAAAAACCATAATTTACCCTTTTTTTCCTGTTTTTTAAAATTCGTGTAAAAGATAAAATAAAAAATTTTTTTCTGAAAAGTTACGACAGCATGTTATAGGAAACTTATTCCAGTTTTCGAAACTGCCCTTCAATTTTCTGTATGACCATTTGTCGCCGAGATATCGATGATTGAAGACAAAAGGATCCTTTTCTATTAAAAGTCCGATATTTCGATGGAAAAAGGTCATATCGAAATTTAAAAAAAGGAAATTGAAGCTGAATAAACAAGCTATCTGGTCCATGCAATGGCTTAGCTGAAAAAAATGTTTCCAAGTCCATGGACTCGGAAAAAAAAAGAAAATGTGCAAATTTTTTTTGTCGCTCTATGTTTTAGAATTGCACGATAACTGTCGCACCTAAATAATTTCGGCCGAAAGATCTAAAAACTAGAATCTTAGAGCTTCAAAACGCTTTTTTTAATTCCCAATACGACCATTTTTCACCTAAATACAGTCTGTCAAAAATCACTAAAAATTTCGGAAATTCTTTTGATCCTTTAATTTTTTGCATTAGTTTATAACACGACTTTTTTTGTAATTTAAAATTTCTCTTAACCTCGTACAAATGATAACTAATTAGTGCTAGTGTTCTGCATACGTTAAGTAAACAGATATTTTTTTAATTCACAAGCTCAGAAGCGTTAATTTAATGTCTTCAAAATACCTGACAAAAATGTGAGTTCCAAAAAAATTTATTAAACAGAAGTTGTTGCTTTTGATATGTAAATTGCGGTTGAAATTATGGCAATTATTTTTGGGGCACCTTGTATATAAAAGTAACTAAAACACTTGAAGTTTAGTTGTATATGCTATGTCACAAATTATAAAAAGTTTCAGTCCGGAAAATTTGCGTTTTTGAGAGATGTGCAAAATTAATTAAATTATGTGGTTTGTTACACGTTGTGGGAAGCCACGTAAATAACACATTATTTTGTTCACAGATAATGTGATTAAATATTATTTTTGTTTCAGAACTGATTTTTTTTTTAACACGTTTAGTAGTAATTACCTAGACAAGGTCTAACGTTAATGTATTATTATGGACATGCTTTTGTGAACAGTAAAAATTAAAGTTTTATGCTGATTGCCATTGTATGTTGAATGAAATCGCTTTATTCGTTTTGTTGTAATTAAAAAAATTTTTTTTTTTTTCATATTTGTAACCTGGATCTTAATTAACCATTAAAGTTTCGTCTAGTGTTTTAGTTACATTCTGACCTTGTATAGGCTGTTACAAATTCGCTTCTCACTACAGGGATCTCGGAAACGGTAAGAGATACGAACGAGTTTAAATGGGGGCGAAATATTTGAAAAAGAAGACGAAATTTTGGAAATCAGTTTTTTTTTTCATTCCACTTTTTGCTCTCTATCGAATCAATTTCCATATGTAACGTTTTGTTTTTCCAGGACCTTCATCAACTTAATTTTATTACATTTTTTGCGAGTCTTCATGACCCCCAATACTGTACTACTTCAGCCCGAACCAGATTCAGACGTTTTGTCGCTATAAATTCATCTTCAATGTATTTGTTCCAAATTTATCTAAATTTTTTTATTAGATTTCTATGTTTATTGAATTATCGAAATCCATCAAGTTATGTAAACTGAAATGAAACAAAAACGGATTTCCAAAATTTCGTTTTTTTTTTCAAATATCTCAAAAACTAATCACGTTAGACTTGATTTTTTAGAGACATAATGTTGGTCCTCTGATTACGCAACTTTGCCCCTATTTAAGCTAGTTCGTATCTCTTACCGTTTCCGAGATCCCTGTGGTGAGAAGCGAATTTGTAACAGCCTGTATACATGAAATAACTTATATAAAGTCAATAAATGGCATGTCCATATAACATTTTCGATGGCGGCTTAGCATTATTTTTCAATTGGGCGAAAAATGGCAGAAAATTTTACGAAATAGGCAGATATTTAATAATTTTAAGGGGGCAAATTGGATTTTACAAAATATCTTCGGTAAATTTTTAAGGCAATAAATTGTAAAATATTAAATATTTTCAACTGTATCATTACAATAACGTTCATTGTAGGTATTTTAATGTTATTTCGTTTCTTCTTTTTGATTTTTTTGACTTTTGTATATTGGTTTTAAAAGATTAAGAGATGAGAAGGCCAAAAATAACAAAAATGATGAAATACGTGTTAAATATTTTATTATGAAAATATTTTGAAACAAGTAAATATAAATTATACAGGCTGTTTACTATAAGAGGGCCACTCCTATGTATGTCGCTTAATACACGATGCACGTCAAAAATCTTTGTGTTTTTTGTTGCATTTTTTGAGGCCTTGATGCTCGTAAAAACAAATTTGAGATCCATGGCCAACTTTGTGAGTAATCATAAAAAACCGGAAAAGTACCGAAAGTCGGGAACTTTTTTATTTTAAGAGATAGAGAAAACTTATTTTAATACAATTTCATGACAAAATTGATACCTTTCACCTAGTGTAAACAGATTTTTGAGGTATCATACGTCCTCTACGCGGTGCAAAAAAAAATTGTTATCAAAGCGGGCTGCGGCTACAAAAAATTGTTTTGTTTTTGCCTCCTTCATGCGATATGCTACATGTTACCTTTATCTTTTACATTTATTACATGTTTTACAATTTTGGTATAAACAAATGTAAACATTGAAAGGTTATTGATGTACATTGTGTATTAAGCGAGAGACATAGGAGTGGCCCTCTTATAGTAGACACCCTGTATATAAAAAAAAGGAAATGACCCTGCGTTTGAAATTTATATTGATCGATTGGATAAGTATAACCCAGTTCCATGTAACCATCTTTTTTAATTAATCCTTTGAGTCGTAGGTGTCGTTAGACCTGTACCTCCTTCTGCAAGACCACCCGTCCCACCCTCTAGATCCCCTAAACCAGGTGAAACATGCAAATATTATTAGTAATAATATTCTACAACTTGTGGAAGCAAGAGATATATCGGTTTACACAAATATAAAAACAGGACTGAGAAAAAATTGTGTTCACTATTTTTTTTTTGAGTAATACCGTCCTTTTTGTAAAATTATCTCAAAAAATCAAACTTTTATTACCGTTTTGTTGGAAAAACGAAAAATATGTTATTACGAGTGTTTTTTAGCCGCAGCGGCACCACCACCACCCCCACCTCCACCACCAAAACCGGCGGCGCCCCCCACAGGAGCTCCCCCACCACCCAAACCTCCACTCACTTCGATACCCGTGGCGGCGATCCGTCACGCTCAATCCCTGGAAGCAGCCGTCGTCAAGTTACCACCGCAGGATCCCACGAAGGAAATCACCGGCACCCGCACCGAGCAGAGGGTGAAAATGAACAGGATGAGGCTGAAGATCGCGTCGCGGTTGAAGGAGGCCCAGAACACTAACGCCATGTTGACCACCTTCAACGAAATCGATATGTCGTAAGTAGTTGTCGTAATAAAAATTTAGATAACGAGCAAAATGAAATATTAAAAACTAATTTTTGTTGTACCTACCAGGAGTATTATGGATTTCCGTAAACAGAACCTGGAGGCCTTTCAGAAAAAGTACGGGCTGAAGCTTAGTTTCATGTCCGCTTTTTTGAAGGCCTCGGCTTACGCCCTACAAGACCAACCAGTCGTGAACGCTGTCATAGACGGCGGCGACATCGTCTACAGGGACTTCGTGGATATTTCTGTGGCTGTGGCAACGCCTAAGGGTCTGGTGGTACCGGTGATCCGTAACGTCGAAAGGATGAATTTCGCCGATATCGAGCAGGCCATGGCCGTTTTGGCCGATAAGGCGAGGAAAGGTACAGTGTTTCTTTTGTTTTTTTTTTTATAATCGTCAATGTAGCTGTCAAATTAAAGTAATATCGATGGAATCAGGTGACAAATTAAATTTTTTCTGTAGGTCAGATAGCGATCGAGGACATGGATGGCGGTACTTTCACGATCAGTAACGGTGGAGTGTTTGGTTCGCTTTTAGGCACGCCGATTATTAATCCCCCACAGTCGGCCATCTTGGGAATGCACGGCATCTTCGAGAGGCCCATAGCGTTAAAGGGACAGGTAAAAGCACAAAATATTTTTGTTACATTTAATTGCTTTGAAAATAGAACACACTTTGCAATTTTTTGCAAAAAAAAATTAAGAATATTGAACTTACAGACATTCTATGTAAGTTTTCAGACGTTTCTCATGAAATTTTTTGAGTGGGACAAATTGATTAGAATTTCATCAAACTTTGACATTATTTTATAAATATTTTGAGCTACATTTACAAATTTTTTCAAGTCATTTGTGTTGAAAAGGCCGAAGTTACGGCCACCAAAGGTGGTCGTTCGAGTTGGTTCACGGGAAATGTGGAGGTCGCAATTTTGATGTGAAAGTAAAATGGTTATTTTCCTGCATTATGAACATGTTTTTTAAGAATATGAACCTCATTGCGAGTAAAAATTGTGAAAATTGAAGTTTTGACAAGTGTGTGAAAAAAAATTAATTGATTTTCAATTTTTGTTTTTTTTTTACTTATTTAGAATAAAAAACAACCTTCATATTATGATATCCCAAATGTTGGTTTATGTTCTTCGTAATTTCATAAAGAAACACACTTTGAGGTTGCATAACGATCGGTTCATAGCTATTGGAGCAAAAAATGTCGTTACGAGGAAAATGTGTTTGAAAATGTTCGCAAAGTAGAAATTTGGTTCGGTTTTAGGTTTATAAAATCGGAACGAATCGGAATTTCGTTTTGAAATTTTGGCAACATGTTCTTGAATAGTTATACTAACAATTTATGCAATAAAAAAAAACATTTTTTTTAACCTCCTAATGTGGTTCCCTCTATTTATATAACTGCAAAACGTTAAAAATTGGTATTACATAATCTTGTTTCAAGGAATCTATACATTTTTCATCGACGTTTTTCAAATTTTGCATAAAATTTCGGAAATATTTAATGCGAAATTTTCACAAATTTCCTAAATTTTTCAATCTATCGAAAAATGGAAAAAATGCAAATTTGAAAAAAACGACAGGCATTTAAAGACAAATCGAATTTTCATGGGAAATTTCTGCAGAATTTGTATAAAAAAATAATTTTCCAAAATCAATTTCCATCATAGAGAACGTAATAATGTTATCAATACTTCTACCAATAGGCCATTATAGCTTTTTTTCGGGAAAAAGATACTATTAGAAGTTTTTTTGCGGAATATTGTTCGGAAACGTGTTATAAATAAAATATCAAAAAATCAACTCGAGACTAGTTGGGAAACTTTGTCAAAACAATGGTCAAAGTTATGGAAAAGTGATTTTTTGACTCGCGTAAAAAAACTTATTCATAGAGAAAATTTTTTCATACAAAAAAGGTAGGTATTAAATAAATCTGTAAAATAAGACAAGTCCGATTAAATTCCGATAATTTGTTTATGCGCAAGAGCTCAAAAATGGTCGAAAATAGTCGTTTTTTTCAATTGTTAATAATAATTAATGCAATTTTCATTGCAGGCACGTGTAATTCAGGATTTTTGAGGCTTTTTACACCCTTAATAAGAGGTAAAAATTTCAACCCGAAAGCTTCATTGGTTTGGCATTGGTGGAATTTGTTATCCAAGAAGATGCTATTTTCAATTCATTTTTCCCAAGCTCAAAGGCGTTGTAGAGTTTCGATCATTAGTTGTTTTTGTACCTAAATAGTTGTATTGACATGCATTTACTGAGAATTTAATTTTTCAAATTTAATTAGTTCAAAAATGACTGAAAAAATGTTAAATATTTATTAAATTGTTATGATAGGTAATTATAATAAAACGAAATAGTAACGTCTATAGTTTAGTTAGTACTATTTGCCTTCGAATTAAAAAAAAAAATCGTTCTAAGTTGATTAGAAGCTGAGACAATTTTTTTTTTATTTAATCGCATTGTCCTTAATTATTAAAAGCTGAAATTTGGAGAGAGTATACATTAAAAGCTATATTTTCATGTCCTACATTAATATTAAGGTGAATTCAACTACATATTTAATTGCAAAAAAGCGAAAGAGTGGGAAGAGCGAGGCTAAATAAAAAATTAAATCTCAGGTTGAAATAATGTTAATACCATAGCTTCAATGCTCATGAATTTTCGCGCTACCACAAATTAAAAAAGAATCATCTCGATAGGTTCATTATTAACCGAGATATGGCAAATTTTTCCAGCTCCATCGATTTGAAGCCTCTCGATCATTTTCCGACCGAGTAATAGAATGCATCTCCGCTATCTTCTTTTTTGCAATTAAATAGTTGAATTCACTTTAATGTTAATGTAGGACATGAAAATATAGCTCTTAATGTATACTCTGGCCAAATTTCGGCTCTTAATATTAATAATTAAGGTCACTGCTATTAAATAAATAAAAAAAATCTCAGCTTCTAATCAACTTAGAATGCTTTTTTTTAAATTCAAAGAAAAATAGTACTAACTAAACGATAGAGGTTACTATTTCATTTTAAAATAATTACCTATCTTAATAACTTAATAAATATTAACATTTTTTCAGTTTTTTAAACAAATTAAATTTGAATAATTAAATTCTCAGTAAATGCATATGTTAATACAACTATTTAGGTACAAAAACAACTAATGATCGAAACTATACAACACCTTTGAGCTTGGGAAAAATGAATTGAAAATAGCATCTTCTCAGATAACAAATTCCGCCAACGCCAAACCAATGAAGCTTTCGGGTTGAAATTTTTACCACTTATTAAGGGTGTAAAAAGCCTAACAAATCCTGAATTACAAGTGTCTACGATGAAAATTGCATTAGTTATTAGTTATTACTTATTAGCAATGAAAAAAACGGACATTTTTGACCATTTTTGAGCTCTTGCGCATAAACAAATTATCGGAATTTAATCGGACTTGTCTCATGCTTATTTAATACCTACCTCTTTTGTATAAACTTTTTTTTGCTATGAATAATAGTTTTTTTACGCGATAACTTTGACCATTGTTTAAACAAAGTTTCCCAACTAGCCTCGAGTAAATTTTTTGATATTTTGTTTATAACACATTTCCGAACAATATTCCGCAGAGAAACTTCTAATAGTATTTTTTTCCCGAAACGGGCTGTTTTAAGTCTATAATGACTGGACTACAAGGGGGAACTCAATCGGTTCAATAGTTTTTATGCAATTGTGTACACCAGCTTCAGAAATGTCGTTTTGAGAAAAACGGTAAATCCCCCTTCCTAGTCTATCCTTTGCAGACGGAGTCGTTCGACAAATGAGCGTTGCTGTGGACGGAAAGGCAACTATAAACTGTAAACAAACTTGTGCGGCTATTTCCCCAAACTTTCAGAATATATTCCTCACATACAGTTCTATCGTTTGTGAATATAAAAAAATCGATTTTCTGACCGTTGTAATTATATATGTCCCCTCAAGCAGCACGTGATTCTTTTGTTTATATTTTAAACTCAAGTTACGCCATTTGAAAAAAAAATATATCGAACCGTATAAAAACTAAAACACTGAACGGTGCTACAATCTTAAATGCACACTCTGTATATCTATATTTTCAGGTTGTGATTCGACCGATGATGTACGTAGCCCTGACTTACGACCACCGGCTTGTTGACGGTCGCGAAGCCGTAATGTTCCTAAGGAAGATCAAGCAAGCGGTGGAAGACCCCCGCGCCATATTAGCGGGTCTGTAACCGCCCGATGGGTCCGTAAAAGACAAACCGTTACACGTCACCTAAAAAAAAAAATCTGTCGTTCTTTTAAAGAATAGGAGAGGTACCATTCAGTTTTGTAGAAAGAAAATCGCTGATTTTTGCGAGTCTCGGACACTTCATGCACTTCGCTCCTCAGTTGCGGAAAGTGTAAATTAAGTAATATATATTGTAAAGTATTGTGTATTTAAAATTTTTCTCAACTGGGTGTATTTTAAATATATTTTTTTTCAAATGTCGCTTTTAAACTGTTCACTTTATATGGAGTTTATTTAAAATAAAAACATGGTTTTTCATGTTTCGATATTACAGTGTAGGTGTAGCCTACATGTGGATTATTGTATTATTTATTGTTAAATATAAAGTTTTAGAGAATTATCGTTGTATGTTTCAAACAGTCGGATGGTATTTGGGCGAAAAGATACTTTTTGTCGCTCCAGATGATTCTTACTTTGTTAATGAAATCATACTCAGAAAACTGTGTGTGGTGATGTAGTGTTTTGCTTTATAAAAAGTGGTGTTTTATTTATTTCAATGGAGTATCCTGTTTAGTATATAAGGTAAGTAAAAAAATTCAAACATTTTTTACGTGTGATATACAGGGTGTTTCGATTTTAGGTGTACAGGCTATAAAATCGATAAAAAAACAAATGAAGGAAGAATTATTTATTAAATTGCACTTACGTGAAAATTTAATTAAAGTGTATCAGAAATTTTGTTTCGTTTTAAATCTAATAATCTTACATTAGATGTGAGTTCTTCTGTCTGCGATCTCCAGCCAGTACATAATCTGAAACCAAAGCAACTTTAGCTTTGATGAATTTTTAAATTTAACTAATCAGCCGTACTGTCTTTCCTATAAAGTTTTTATCTAGGATGCTTCGTTTAAATGATACAGGGCGTTAAATTTTAAAATATACAGGGTGTTCCTAAATAAGTGTCGCAACGGAAAACTTCCTCTTTCCTCTTGAAATGAGAAACATAGTTTTCCTCTTCAATTTATCTCTGGGCTTTCGTTTTTGAGTCACACGGTGTCGAAACTTTTTTTCAGATTTTTGTCAATATCTTAGAAACCCTGAACTACAGGACTGAGCTTTTGTACATACATTACCACTATTAATAGTGTGCAAAACCATACTTATAGTATCAACTTCGATACTGTTGTACAATAATGAAAACGTAATATTGACAGTTGGTAGAAGGAAGCGCAAAAACAAGCGCTTATAGGTGGGAAATTCTGGAAGGAAGCCTAAACAGTTGTAGTTAGAACAGCGCAGAGTGAAAAGTAAGATAATCGGTGCACGGTGAAAATATATAAGTAGTGAAAAATTAAAAGTGTTTAACCAGTATTAATTAGCAGGTAACATTCTTTAAGTACTTTGTTATTAATTGTTCTATGTAATCTTATGCTTGTGATGATTGCAGATGTTTCATGATAAAAATTCTGTGTATGTTTAGCCTTCATTGTCTTACCCTCAGGGGCGTATATTTTTCTAACGTAAAATTGTTACAATTATTATTAAAGATTGTTCATTATTTATTACATGTTAAAATATATATATATATATATTGTCGTGACTGCCCGGATATTGCAATAAGAACTCCTTTGTTTCACATTTAACTTGTTTTGTTATGATTACGTTGTTAGAAAAACAACTAAGAAAGCATTTCTTGTGCTCACTTTATGTCATACGCATATAAGGGCCTTGTTGAATTCACTAACATTTTCGCCCGTGAGGAACGAATCTGAAAAAAGGAATAATTAAATACAAAAAAAGAATTGCTAAAACAGATCTTCTGAAACCTCAACTATAGCTGGATTGCCTCCCGCATGGGACTCCTGTATCTTCTGGCCCTGCCGGCTAACTAACACCAAACCTCTTCAGTTTTACTTGGAAGTGTGTATGTCTAATTTGAGTGAGATGACATTTAGTGAGAAATTAAATCAGTCGGGTGTTAATTATCATTAGCAAAGGATCTTAATTTATGCCTTTTGTTAGCAGTTGTTTGTATTTATATTTGGGTAGTTAGAGCAACTATCATGGGTTTCTCTGCCATGCTCTTTCCCCACAGGAGCTGTAGGTGAGCCTGGCACTCTCATTTTATGTTAAATGGTTGTTAATGTTTTTGTTGTTCTTTCTATTTGTCACATGTTTAATTTGAGGGCTGTTGTACGTAAATAATAAAGTCTCTACCATGTATTTATATTTATCAGTCTCTGCTGCAGATACATTGTGGATTAGATACATTTTTAAAACATTCAGACGTGCTTCATATAATACCGGAAATGCCGAAAATTTCATTTTATCGTTTTCTATGATCCGTACTACTCAGATTAATAAATTACATATTAAATTATATAACCACTTCGTAAAATGTTTTAACGCTAATATATAGTTCAACTTTTAATAAATTTCATAGGCTAAGTAAAAACTTTTTATTAGATAAATTGTTTTTATAACGTACCTATATGAGTAACTAAATATTTAGTTACTCATATGAGCGTAGGTACCTAATAAAGTGATTATTTCAACTGTTGAATTCTAACAATGATCATTTAACATAACACGTAACAGTGACTTCAAATATACTTCCGTGGAAAATCCGTAAGCTATTGTTTTACAATTATGTAGATTGCAAAATAAATAATCTGAGAACCATATCGAATGGCTATATAAACTTAAATTAAAATTTAAACCCATTACGATCGTTTTAGTATTGCAATACTTTGCGTCATCAATAGGTAATGTGTAAATACCACGGTTGTAAACATTTTTTAATCAAACTGGTTTAGAAAAAGTCGTAATTTAAAAAAAATTAATCCTGTGTAGCCCGCGCCATCTACTAGTTAATAGTATCATCTCGTGGACTAAGTTTGGAAAAAGATAGTTCTCTGTCAGTCAACGTTATAAATTCCTCAAATTTTTATTTATTCAAATTGACAAATTACAAGTGTACTATTATCTAAATAAATAATAAAATATAACAGTTTTGTTTTATTTACTTATGATCTGGGTTAATTTCATTAGTTGAATAAAATACGGCTAATATGTACAAATTATGCACACTATCATAGAATACTTAAAAGTAAGATTATTGACTCGGTATCGGCATCGGCAGTTTTGCTTTTGATCACTCTTGAAGGTTTGACATGAATGTCTAGTCTCCCTGGTTTGACAGGTAGTTTACGATTTGACACTATGGCACAGAATGTGTTTATATTCTGTGACTATGGTTTGTTTGACACCATTAGGTTTTTGCAATAATTTATGCGTGCATAATTTTTCAATAAAACTTGTGATATCCGTATTGAGATATAAATATTAATCCACTGGCTATAGATTATTAATTCAGATATACCTCTACATTTTTGTTTATTAACTTACTATTGTTTTATTTAGATATTCATACATTAGTGAACTGACAGTTTCTATTTCAAGATCGAGGTAATTGAGATTATGTAATAATTTTACCGTCAATAGAATTCTAATAGTTTATTCTGTGTTCTGTGACAGTATAATACAAATCCATATAACGAAACGCTATATCGTGGATAACAATTTTTTTCTACATGTCTTCAATCTACTTAATAACTGACGGCGCGGTAGTTCTATATCCCTGTATATTCTGTGTTTCTGTTGTCGGTAATTTGCTATGAATATATTTAATTACTTCTGCATTATCTGTATTAGTAAAGTTTTTAATTTTATTTTCCCTGAAAATATCTTTGTCTAGAAATTTAAATATCTCGCTGGGTTATAATAATGGCAGTGTTTATTGGTTACATCTGAATAATTTTTGTATTCTATTGTTCATGAATTTACTTTGAATATATTTATTTATTGTTGCATTATCTGTATTAGTGAAGTAGCCTCTATTTTTTTTTAAAACAAATTAGTAATCATATCTATTTTGCATGAAAAGGTACAAGTATTATTAGTTATTATTTTATCAATTTTTTTATTTGTTGTCTGTTAGTGATTGCAGGTATTTTTTTATCTCTAGTATACATTTAATCCTACATTAATTCTACTGGACACAGGACGCCCTGTGTAACAAAGAAAAACGTCAAATTTGCAGATGGTACTTTAATTACATTTTTTAAACAAAAGAAATGCAGGTAATTTATAATTTAAGTCTACGAACTTTGATCGACTTTTGAGTTCCAAAATCTTTTTTTAATGTTGATACGCAGTATTTGCTGGCGCCCAGAGAATATCTCCGATTGTATTGGAAAGTGTAGCAAAAATTTGCGCGTCCGGAATGCTTTTTTCTATAGGTTTGGTTGTTGGTTTATCACCTCGAGGTACTTTTGTCGTTGTTTAAAGGCTGCAAAACGATTTGTGTTTATTCGTCACTTTCGAATTAGAATTTCGAAAGGAGGGCGATTTCTTAAGGATAAGAGGAGTAGATACATAGTTATATATACAAAAATATAATCAGTGGCACATTTTTGTGTACTCTAAACGTATCAGAATATAACGGGTGGTCGCCGCTGTCCGAATGCCATTAATAATTACCGACGTACATCGTTCCAATTACGAATTCCTACCTACGTAGTTAACCGGCTAATTACGGTCTAATCGAGTTATTGCACATCAGCAAAAGACACCCCGGAGGGCGGCCCCTGTCTTTTATGTGCCAGAACTTCCACAACTCGGGGCGAAATTAGATGAAGACGCCGCAAAGGGCCGCGGGGCCAAGGAGTCGTTCTCCGGGACGATTGTGTGCGTCTGAAGTGATGGACGGAGATATACCGATGCGGATTTCCTTAGATGTGCGGGACTGGTCAGCTGTGACGGTCTCAGATACTCGCAGACGTCTTTGTGGCTTTGAGGAGTCAAAGAGATAAGTTGGGAGACAGTTGCCAACAGACGGACGTGCAATTTGCTAATTATTCGATCTATTTTTAAGATTTTCAGACTTGCTAAAATACGCACAGATAACACAGACCAACAAAATTTAACTTTTTTTGGAAGCAGAAACTTGAATATATATTTCCGAATGATTTAGGTGCGCTGAATCCGAATCTGGCAGCAGAATTGCTCTATCACGTCAGATTTTTGAGATATCGTAACCTAAAAGTGCAAAAACACTGTTTTTCGTCATATTTGAGGTTATGTAGTAATGTCATCTACTCTTTTTCAAAAAACTAATACATTGAATCTAAAAGTACAAGGCTTCCTCCTTCGAATGCCGTCGAGTTTGCTCAAATACATTTTTTTTTCGTTGAGATATCACATGTTGAAGTTTTTAAGTTTCTCAGTTTCTTAATAATTATGCGAACATCTACTAAGACATGAAGCAGTCGATTGCAATTCAGAAACTTCATACCCATACGGTTTGTGGGTTTGGAGTTGATGGACTTGGGGTTT